ATATGGTATTTCCTTTGAGTCCATGAATGCTATTTAATATTTATATTGTATTCTTGTGGCAGTGGACGTCATGCTTTGAAAGCCAAACTTTTGGAGGTAAAGTTCATTCACCCTTTTTCTAATATGTATGCAGGTTATACTTTCATTAGGCATCTCATGTTATGTCATATCTTATTATTATTACCATTGCAGCTTGGCTATGACATTGATGGTAAAGAATTGGATGATCTATTTCCGCGCTTTAAATCCGTTGCTGAAAACAAAAAGGTAAATTGAGTCTTTGTTTATTATATTTGATAACTTTCGAAAGTGGCATATTTGCAGACTGTGTGTTGGTGGGTCTTTGATGATTGGGCACACAAGCAGCTTAAATTTACTGTATTGAATACTTCGAGAGTATTGTAAAAGAAGATATCCATTTGTTTCTTTTTTCCACCAATTGAACTATTTAAATTATGAAATGGTGCAGATATAATTGTTAAAAACTTGCATTTACATCTTCAGTAAATGTGAATTTTCTCTTTCCTCTTGATATCAAATCACGCATTTGTCAGATAATGTCCTCTTACAAATTAGTTTAAAGTTAGGTTTAGCATGTTATTACTGAATTTTTCTTCCATTTACTTTGAAATCGGTTTAGTTGATTTTTCGGAATTCATTTCTTGACATCCTTTAAATTTACTTAACTTTGTGCAGTTGACTTGTTACAGAGAATTGGAAAAATGTCTTGGTAACCATGCTACAGTACCATATAGGATCTTGTTTCTGTTTTAACTTTTTATAAAGCTTCTCAAAAAATAATTTCTCAAAAGGCTATAGAATTTCAGGCCTATTTGGTGGCTCTGATTTCCTGAAAATGTTTTCAGCATTTTCAATTGCATCAATAACTGGGAATGTATTTTCCAGCTTGAAGTATGTTCCTGATCTTCCTCTCTTATCCAAAATAACTTGCATACTATTACTATGTGACAGTAAGTTTTTTCCTGAGACATTTTGGAAGTGACTCAAAGCACTTTACACAAACTTTTATAATATCTGTTACTCAACCTTGTTTGATTTTGAATTTTTGTCTCATATCTTTGCTCCGTATGGCGATAAGAGTATCACCATTAGTACTTTAATATTATTTTCAGCTTAAACTGCAATTTTAAGCACTACTTGACATGTTCTCTGTTATCAATTATTTTCTGAGTCTTTTTGATTTGATAATACTGTTATTGCAAAAAAAAAATTCAAAACGTTAACAATAATACAAGTCTCAAAAGATATTCAAACTGTCGTCCAAACACCAGGCAATTGTCAGGAAAGTGACATTTTCAGCTTAAGACATTTTATTAGGAAAAGGTTTTCTGATTGAAAGCATTTACATCCAACCAAAGTGACCAAAATAGGAATCATATGTTCTTTCATGAGTGTTTGAGTGTAAAGGCTGCTATAATACCACCTCCAGAGTTGCTTTGCAAGTCAGTCTTCTTTCAATTTAAAATCAGATAGAAGTGCTTTTAGCTTGCAGGAAGACATGTTTAACTTAGTTAAAGCGAATTGAGAGCATGCACATTATACATAATTCTTCACAGGTTATAACATTTCAGTAGGCATCATATATGCTGCTTACTTATATTCGAGATTGTTAAAGATCACAGAGGCACTTATTCTTCACAAACTTTCTTGCTGGTGTGTGTTTATCACATGTGTTACTTGTGTGCAATGTGTTGCAGTAGTCGGTAACTAGATAATATGTTGCTTATTTGTGCAGTCAAATGCTGGCAATACCCCTTAACTTGTACATATATATATTATTTTACAATTGCTTGTGAACATTCCTTGTTGGCTCTGGTACATACAATTTAACAGTTCAAAAATGTATAGGCCCAGATAACTAATAGAGGACAACAATACATTAAAATTGAAGAAAGGATGCGCTGTACTAGTTTGGATTTCCAACTTCTGCTTTATAATTCTTGTTTTTTCTGCTAAAATGCTTCCAAATTGCTGATGCTGATGTAGTGTCTGAACACCTTTCAAGGCTGCGTTCATGACTCCTATAGAAGCTAAAATGCTTCCCTTCTGTTCAAGTATGTCATCTTTTTTTACGTATGTCCAAATTACCAATCTAACAAAGATTCTTTCCGTAAATAAATTGGCTCTTTTTCGATACCATGTTGAAGCATTTTGTTTAGACTAACTATTAACTTCTCTTTTTTCCATCCAATTTCCATGCATTGGGCTATTACCAAAGCTAACATGTTTTCTCCATAAAAATTCTCGTGGCATAATCTCCAATGCATGTGCCTAAAAAGTTTGTTTGAAGTTCATTATATAGTTTTTCTTACCAATGCTGCTAGTTGATATTTTGATAAATTTTGTTTTCTTTTGCTCAAATTGGACATATGTTGAAAAGGCTGACAGCTGTGCTGCAGCTAAATTTTTGTGATCTATATTACGTCTTCTCTTATGGCAGTCTTGAATCTGTCATTCTTCAACTGTGGTGCTAACCTAGATTTCACCTCTCAAATCTCATAGCAATTGACAATTGTTTCAACTTTGTCTGGGAGTGATTTACTACCATGTCCTTTCAGTACATATGAATGAAAGAACTTTTGGCCTATGTCTTCCTAGTGTAGTTGTGAATGTTTATGAATCTTGTCTCTTATCGAATGAACGTCTAATAGTCCACAGCAATTTATTTGCGTTTTGACATAATAAAATTGTCTCTTCTTATTTTGTTTTTGTTGTCCCAGAACATAACTGATGAGGACCTGATAGCACTAGTGTCAGATGAGGTTTTCCAGCCGCAAGTTTTCTGGAAACTTGGAGATGTATAGGTATTTGACTGAAATTCAGTTTTGTTTATTGTCTAGTTGTCCCTTAATGTGGAAAACAGTACTCCAATTGTATGGGCTGTCCTCCTGGGCCACAGGTAACTTGTGGAACTCTTGGTCTTTCTACTGCAACTGTCAAACTGATAGACGCTGATGGTAAAGAGCATATTGAATGTTCCGTTGGTACTGGGCCAGTTGATGCAGCTTACAAAGCAATTGATCTCATTACCAAGGTTTGTGAACTTTAAATTTGTTCTCCTTCAATCTGAAGTTGAAACCAGTTATTGTGCGGACCTTGAAATGATTGCTCTCTAGCTTTTGAGTATTCTATTATCTTCGTCATCATTGAGTGGCTTTAGAATAAAGTATGGTACAGCTTGTGGTGGTTGGTCGGTGGTGTGAAAAATGGACAAGGTAATAATATGTCTAAGAATCTTGCTTCCATGGACCATTTCAACCTGGTTCTTGAAATCTGTTAAGTACCTGCTTCTTTGCTTAATGGCATATTTTTTGTAATGAACTTCAGTTAATCTACAAGTTTTCAGCCAAAGCTCAGTCAAATCAATCTGTTTGTGATGAATTTGTTTGGCCTACAAGATTGTGCTCTAAAGCTCACTTACATGCTAAACATAAAATTGTTTTGCCTTTTTGTCTTTGTATGGAGCCCTGCAATTTTTGTGTTATTAGTTTATGGATGACAACTGTAAATCCCCTTTTTCTAGCTTGGATACTGCCTCTATAATTCAGCATCTGAAGTCTTTCTCATTAATATGTGCAGGTTCCTCTAATACTTCTTGAGTATTCCTTGAGTGCTGTCACAGAAGGCATTGATGCTATAGCGACAACCCGAGTTTTGATTCGTGGAGATAGTCAGACAGCCACTCATGCCTTGACTGGAGAAGCAATGTCTCGGACATTCAGGTAGAAAATGCTTGATCTTTGCAAGGATAATATTGATGCCGAATGCTAGTTATACCGGCAAAATGGAGGAACTTCTTGTTTCTTTTCTAAAAGTGAATCAAACTGATTAAATTATTGATTGCTACTGCAGTGGAACTGGTGCGGCAATGGACATTGTTGTTTCTAGTGTTCGGGCCTATCTTGGTGCTCTAAACAAGAAATTAAGTTTCAAAAAGTTGAATGAGAGTGAGATCTTGGTGGCCTAGAAGAGCGATGCTTAGATTATAGAGAATGCAGTCTTGAATGTTGTGCAATTATGCAGGCGGCTATTTAAGTCGTAGAGGATTGGATAGACGTATATTTGAGTGTTATTTCAGCCATCTGGTCGCTGCTTTATCTGTTGTATAAAGCTTGGGCGACGAAATGATGTGCATGTTAACTTTAAGAGTAACGAAAGTTTTTTTGACAAGCCACTTGTTTTATTTTATTTGATCTTTTCTAAGTGAGAGCTGGGCATTTGATGCAGTGTAGTTTTGCACCCGATCGTAGATTCTTTATAGGCCTTGTTTTATTGGACTTGAATTTTGTGAAGGACAGAGTAGAAAAAGATCCACAAAATCAAGTGTTAACTACGGATGAAAACGATAATGTGATCTTATTACAATCTTGTTTTATACGTAATAAAAAGGGAGATGTTATTGACACTTCTAAAAAAGTTTCTAGCACTCCATCCTCCCTTTATGCTTTAAAGGGAGGATTTTTTTTTTCCCTTGATAAAACTAGAACTTTTAAAGTCCATTTCTTGCTAATACATATTATTATACGTGTAAGGCCTCCTCCTGGTGTACACGCTACTGATCCGACTAATCCTTAAGGCCCAATTGGGTCTGCATGCTATCAACTAGTAGGGGTGTTGGCGAATTGGACTACTTGCAAGCAGTGTGGTCAACTGTTCGGACTGAGTTTGAGATCAAGTACAAACTACTCAATTGTATATTGAAGTCAAGTTCGCTCGGACTGAATTTAAAACTCAGCACAAGTTATTCAATTGCATAATCAAGTGGAGTTCGAACCAGACATATGATACTCAAGTCTCGACGAGTAGCTTGCGAATAGTTAAATTATTTAAATAATATACATTTTTAATTGTGAAATGATCTTAAGGGTTTATGTTTTAGTTAATTTACAAGATGTTTTTCTTACTTAATAAAGTTCTATAATGGTAAAAAAATAATAATATAATTCAAAAATACTAAAAAGAGAAAACCTTAACAAAAATCTAAAAAAAGAGAGAAAATTGATGAGAAAAGCAAAATTTCTGTGCTACTTTTGTTCTTCATCTTCAATTCCTCCTCGCACAAATCATACACTCTCAGAGTCTTACTTGGGTGTCGCCACTGCTGCTTTCCTACTAGCTGTGGTTCACCAGCCATCGTCGTTGTTGCCTGTTGTCTCAGAATTACACACTTCTTTTCTCATACGGTGACCCACTCTCACTCGCTCGACTGTCGCTGCCACTGCTTGCCTATCATTTGTCAATCAGCAATTGCCATCGCTGCTACCTTCGCACTCGCATGCAAGCCACCAGAGCTCTGCTCAGCTTCTCTTCCTCCTAAATCGTCATTTCAAGTCCCACCAGAGCAAAAGGGCTGACGAACCATCGGAGCTCATTTGAGATAAGCCTTCAATGTAATTCCTCCATTATTGGTTCTGAAATTAAGCTTCAATCAAAAAATGTCTGTAGAATAAGAAAAGTGGGATTTTGAAACAAAATCCCCAAATGGCCAAAACACTATTATGTCAGCTATTGGGGGACAAACTGGCCCTACTGTGGGATCTAGCTTATGTATTGATTTCTTTATCTTCTGTTAATAAAGAACTTAATTTTTTGTCAATTGTAGTGTGCAATTTAATTTGATCCTTTTTGACTAGCTATAATTGTACTACTTTCTTATCCCCCAATTGAACGTTTGTCTTAAATTTATTGTTGGCCCCAAGATAATATCAATTTCCTAAGGAAATTTTGGGACTTTAATTTCTTGATAAACTGCAAATGTGAGTGCTCCAATATGTTTCCCGTTGAACTACTTATTACAGTAATAGTTTCAACTATTCTTTACTTAATACTTTTATCCACCAAGTTAAGACATTCAATTTAAAAAGGAGGGGGGTGTTTTGAAATTATTAGTTTATACTATTCTTAATTTGAGGAGACACCAAATGGCCAGACCCTAAAATGACAAGTATGCATGTCCTGCACTGCTAAATCCAGACCTAAATTGACCATATTTATATAGACCCAAATTTAGATCTATTGCTTAGTAGGTTAAAAAAAAATGGCCTGACTTTTTAAATGGTGGAAGCATGAAATTGTTGTTCTCTTGTCGAAGATTTCTTGAAGAAAATGCAAAGCGGAACTGGGCCTTGGACAAGTTGCTCAAGATTAGAAGCCACTCCTGAATGAGTAGGTAAGCTAAATGACAGTTCAGTTTTCTTGGATTGACAATGATGCCTTTGACAATGATATGTAGTGATATTGATGAATTTTTATGGTGCCTGACACAAATATAATTTTTTTTTTCTATTTTGGGTAAATTGTAGGCATTCCTAGTCCTCTAGAGGTTTCTTCTATCCCACTTGTATCCACTACAGATTCATCTGCTCTAATGATGTTGGATAGTTCTATTTTTATCAGCAATGATACAACAGCAAACCTTGGAGTTCCAGTGATTGCTCTTGGCTCTGCAACCGCTTTTTTGCCTATTGAAGGAGAACAAGTAGGTGCTAATATGCACATGGGAGGAGAATGAAGGTGAAGAAGGATTTCGCATCCCAAAAAAGAGTAAAACATTCAAGACTCAGGATGATTTCAAGGATGTTACAGCAAATGGCTTGTACTATGCCATTTGTCCTTACTGCAGGAAAAAGCGTTCAAGGGGAAAGACCATGCAAGCAACTACCATGTTGAGACACTGGATCACTTGTCCAGCTAGGAAAGCAAGTATCAGAAAGGTGAAGCAGCAAATCAAACTCAATTTCTAGTTGATTGATGAATGCTTTTCAACTTTACTACTATTGAGCAACAAGTTTGACATGGAGAAAATGAGAGAGGGAGATGCACATTGGGTGTTAATGCACGAGCATCCCTTCTCCATATTAAAGGAAGAGGGTTTCCACATTATAATGAAACATGTGGCACTAGAGTGGAAGAAAATCTCTCGGACAACAGTGAAAAATGATTGTATGCAGGTTTATGGAGTTCAAAAAAACAAGTTCAAGAATAAGTTCAAGAATGTGGAAAAGGTGAGCATCACAACAGATTTTTGGAAGTCAAAAAATCAAAAGATCAAGAACATGGTCATCAATAATGGAAAGAAGTTTTTTCCTGTTTCCAGGCTAGAAAGCAACATTACGATTTTTGCCCATCTCCTGAGGATTAGAAAAAACGCAACAAAGGTATGCTCCATCTTGGAAAAATTTTAGGAGGGCACACATGTAATTTTTGGGCCAAATTATCCAATAAGCAATTTGTTCCTTAAGGGGGTTGTGAAGATAAAAAATTTTTTTGAATGCTTGAGTCAATGATGATGACTACTTCATTTGGGCCATGGTTCAAAAGATAAAAACTAAGTTCAGCAAATATTGGGGTGAGTGTATTTGTTAATGGCTATGGCTGCTATTTTAGATTTGAACAGAAAATAAGGGCTGTAGAGTTCGCCTACTCACAATTTTAACCACCATTAGAAGTTTCTAAGAACATTTCCAACATTCGTCAAGTGATCTTTGAGTTATATGATGAATATGTTGCTTTGGCAGTGAATGCAACTAGAGAAGCAGTGGAAGAACACTCTTCACAAAGGTGGGGAAAATATGTGCTTGGAACTAGGTAGGTTGATTGTGATGAGTATTAAATCAAGACCATTGAATCCCACAAGTCTAGATTGGTTGATTATCTTGACAAACCTCACCAAAAGATTGGAGCAGACCCGGATAACTTTGATTGCTTGGAATGGTGGAAAATAAATTGGATCTCAAACCCAGTACTATCTCGAATGGCCTATGATATCTTGGTTGTTTTGATAACTATAGTTGCATTAGAAGCCACATTTAGTGCCTAGACTTGAGTAATTGATGCGTATCAAGCTTCACTTCATCCAAATATAGTTCAAGTGTTGATGTACGTAGGAGATTGGTTTAGGAATCTTTACGGGGTCAAAAAGGAAATGAAGGGTCAGCTTTATTATTTTACCAGCAAACTTCCAAATTTGAGTTATTGAGCATAAGTTACTTTATTCTTATCATAATTTATTTAACTTTTTGTGTTTTGCCTTCTTTCCCTTTCTTTTATGCAGGAAGTCAAACCAATCAAAGAAATTGACTTGCCAAAGTTCTAAAATTTATGCCACATGGACCAAGTTTCATATTGTGGTACATTCTCTTTCTTAATTGTTGAATATTTAATGTTTATAGTTCACTTCATTCCTTTATTTTTTATTCCATTTATTGCCACTATAGCTGTTGAAATGGCTAATGAGCTTGCTGGTTCTAAGAGAAATGGTTCACATCAAAAGCTTGTTCTAACTTCTAAGTGAAATGATAGTGTGAGTGAATTGATGTATGTTGCTGTTTTAGTGAAATTTTTGCATTTTTTGTTGTTAGTGAATTGTTATTGTATGTGAATGAGACTAAAAATGCTTGTTTTGGAGTCCCGAATATTGTTGGAAATTTCTTTAATGAATAGTCCATGGCTGTTATATTCTATGTTTATTATAGCCTAGAAGGAGTTCATTTTTCACTTTTAAATGGTTGTTGGAATCTTGATTTTTGAATACAGAATCTGCTTGGAGTTAAATGGTTGGAGCTGCAATTTTCATTCCTGCTACTGCTGCTGCAGTAGAGTTATGTTGCTGACCGCTGCTATTCATTTTTATTGCTACTGCTGTTTCAAATTTCTTCTGTTGTTGCATCTCATTTCTGCTCCTGCCTATTGCTAGCTATTCGTTTTTGCTGCTGTTCATTTCTGCTGTTGCTGCTTTTGCTATTCAAAACTTGAAGGTGGAATCTAGATTTGCGGTGTTGCTGCATTTGGTTCATTTCTATTGCACTTTAAAGACATCAATATTAATTTTTATGTATTAAGTTTGGATTTTGGAGCTTGTTTCTTTCATTTGTAGTCTTGTACATATGCACTTGATGGAATTATGTTTGCTTTCAAGTGTAATGTCGCATATCGTGACGGAGAAGGGAAAGGGAGTGAAATATGATGCCCGACCCGTTGAGTTACTAATAACTTTGGGTTAACCATTTTGAATTTGTAGTTTCAGCTGAAAAGGGTATTGGGCCAGTCGTTACGGCGAGTATCAAAGCAAATCTCACGTGGTCTCTATGCTAGATGAGTTTGAACTATTGGGTTATGGTTCCAACTACGCAAAGAAATACAAGAAAGTAAGTACTGTATGGGATTAAATGTCACGTTCGATGGGGGACCACCTTTAGAACACATCAAACAGGGACTACACACATCAAATGGGGACTACATCTAGAACTTGTATGAGCCACTTCCAGAACTTATGCATGACTAAGTGGACAGTTTGAATAATAACAGATTTTACGAGGATCAAAAGTGTTAAAGGTGGAGAGAGTGTAATATCCCACATCGAGATAGAGAAGGGAAAGGGTGTGAAATATAATGTCTGGCCCATTTGGTTACTAATAAATTTGAATTAATCACTCTGAACCTTCAGACATTCTTTGGTTATTTCCATAGTTGTAGTTTTGAAAATTGTAGTTCATTACCAAATTTCCTTCTCTCAAGTTTTTATCCACTTTTGTTTACTATCCTCCGTAGAACCTAAAAACACTTTCAAATAATCTTAAAAGTAAGATTAGTCAAAAAGAATAATTTAAAAGACAAACAAAAACAAGACATTAAATACAAAACAAAACACTAAACATAACAAACAAGATACTTAACGTAACAAAAATAAGAAAAGCAAGTAAAAATATCTAAATTAATAAAATTGTTCTTAGTATCGATATTGAATCAAATCTTCTCCGGTAACGATGCAAAAAACTTGATGAGATTTTACCCTGCACCAAATTTTAATAAACTTAAATACCCTGTTTTCTACAAGTATACAGATCATTTGTCGAGTACAGAGAATATTAGGTGTCGATCTTGCAAGGAAGATTGTCAATTACTAATGGTTTTTGAACTCCTTTATTGTTTGAACTATTACAAGTGCAAGAAATTAATTGTACACTACAAACATGAAATAAAAGTAATAAAAATAACAATAAAAAACTTCTAGAGTTATGAAATTCCTTATTACTCTTACTAATGAAATTATTGGTTAATTGAATGTTATTATCTTAACTAGTTATGACATAATTTCTTAATGTATATGAAATCTACCATCGTAGTGAATCAACTATACTTGTATCTATACCAAACCTACTCTCGTGGTTATAAAATTAACTACAAACTTATTTCTTTATGAAATTGCATAAAACAGGCCACTAAAGCCACAAAGATGTACCTCTATTCTCGTGAGTGTACTCTCTAGATTTAGCACTTTATTAAACTAGTGTCAAATTTTAATTCTCATTGTAAATTTAATACCTTAAGATTATCATAATTAATGGCCAGTTAATCATGATTAGAAAAGCTAAAGTGATAAATAACTTGTTCAAAATAATATAATCAAATAACCAATTAAATATCACTAACAAGATATAGAAAGTTCATCCATAACTCTAGGCATAATGATGTGTGCACGGATCTTAACCCAAGTAATGACCCAATTCGAGTTCCATTAGGCCCAGTCACATGAGCACGGGCCAAACACTTCAAGGAGTCACTCCAAACCCTTGTGCGAAATGTCCAAGACCAACAAGGAGTCCATAGGGACATTGAAGGCTTGGAAGGGGATAATCAAGTTGTCTATACGATGATCCAAACTCATGAAGAATCAAGTGGGCGTCCAAGTGGGATGGCCAACTAGGCCTTGGGCCTTAGTGCTAGGTTTCAATTGTTTTGAGTTAGATTATATTGTTTTATTGAATTATGGGTCGGCCCACCTTGTCCAAGGAGTGGCCGAACCTCCTTTCCTATTTTCCTTAGGGTTTCATTAGTCCCTTAACCTATATAAATGCTTACTTTGTACGGTTAAATGGTACACAATTTTCATAATAAAATTCTGGTTTGTTTCTCTTCAAATTATTGAGAGCATTCGATCCTTTCACTTGCTTAGGCAAGGGTTCTTGAGCAATCTCGTGTTTGTCCTTGATTGTTGTACCGACCTATCCACTAGAGTAATCACCTCTGTTGGAGTCATCGTTCTTCTACCCTTCAACCAATCCGTGTCGTCCGTTTTGGTTTTAGGTCCCACAATCCAAGCGTTGGACAACCTCGCTAGATCCTTGGGCAATCGTGCTACGAGTCTCGAACGTGTTGATCGAGAACCGTATCACATAAACTTTAGCAAAACATGAAGAGAATACAAAAAAGATCATACTTGTATTATAGCTAAACAGAAACTCAAATACAAAAGAAGAAGTGATAGGAGGGAAGTCTCCCTTGTCACAGGAGTTCCAAGCTCTCCATCTTGCTTCTTAATTCTTCATTTAATTTTAACTACAATTATAAGATGGATAAACTACGCTAACTATATTATACAATAAACTAAGAAAAACTAGTGAAGTCTACATTTTTAGTAGTGTCTCTAGCCTTCGAAAGTTATTAAACAAGCTCAACGAAGGCCCTATTTATAGAGAATTAAAGCTCCAAATGAGTTGCTAAAGTTGACGTGAAATGCATCTTGACATTTTCAAAAGTTGTTTTTCCAAATTTCCAAGATGCTTCTTGCACTTTCCAGCTGAAATCCATTCAGAAAATTGGTCCACAAGCAGTAGGAAAGAGTTGCAAGTTGAAGTGCAACTGGTTGCAGCTGTAAAGCAACCAAAATATGAATACGCACCCTCAAAATGCGGGTTAAGGTTGCATATTGTGGGTGCGTATTGCCTCTCCTGCAGGTTTGTACTTTTTTGATTAGTCTTCAACATTGCTCTATTTTTGTACTAAATTCAACTGATATTTTGTCAATGATGAAGGATAAATTAACTCTTCTACCAAATATGAAAGTTGTAGCTCTTTGAGTTATCATTTCAACAAATCAAGAATAATTTAATTTAAAACTCTGTAGATTGAGAAATGACCAAAATACACCTGAATAGTCAATCTCCTGTTTTAGCTGTTGAGAACAAAAATAGCCGATAGTATTTCGACATTTTGATTAGGAAAATACATGAATTGGATTTCGATGTCTCACAAAAATTGTAGATCTGTGTGTTAGTTTCAAAATGACTTAAGAATCACTTTAATCCGATGCTTGTAGCCCAAGATATAGCCAAATCAAAAGGTGTCAAAGCTGTCAAACTTCTCTTCTTTTATACTTGATTGCATTTCATCTTTTAAACATTTTGCATTTCATATCCTTTTTAAATCACTTCAAATCATCAACAATCATTCAAATATCTTTTTAAATCACTCCATTTGATGATTGAATCATTAAACCTGTAAAACATGAAGTTTTCACCACTTTAATCCATAGAAATGCAATTTTCACACTTAAACCATCAAATATAAACTTCACTGGAAATCTACTTAATTAGCTATAAAATGAACAAAACACACCAAAACTAAATAATAAAACACACAAAATACACACTTATCACTCACCTCCTAACAATTACTCTATATCTGTTGAATTAACCACCACTTCCCTAATAAAAAACTGCCATTTTTTGAACTACAATAGTTTAACTATTTTAAATTACTATTTTTCACAAAAAAAAATACTTATCACTTTTAATATCTTTTATTAATAGCACACACATTGGGTGCGCCTGGTGTGCCTTAACCACTAGTGTGTGTGTATATATATATATATAATTATATATTACATATACAAGTATACTCATATATGGGCCAACCTTTAATCGAGTCTAAGACTAGTATAGTTTAATCTCGTCTCACACTTAGTTCAGATCTAATATTTAGGCCCGACCTTTGTCCGACTCAATTAAAGCATAGACTTAGTGAGTTTTTTTTGGATCGAACGGGCTGAGCTCAAGCTGAGGTGGCCCCATTGATAGTTCTAATCATAACAGTTTCATGCTGTCTTTCAAGGCAATGAACATTGGTGTAAATTTACCTGCAATGTCATATAATTCTCTATCCATATTTATATTTAAAATTTAAGGTACTCTAATTATATAAAAGAAAATTTTATATAGATATGCAGTGGTAGTTTAGTAAAGCAGGTAGTGAAAAATACAGGAGGCAAAAACCAGGCTATAACTGTCTATAGATTTTTTTGAAACGTATCATATGTTTCTCCATATTGATCATGGAAACTACTATTTATCCCATCACAGGATCAAAATTCCAGTTAATTTGCAACAAGAGTCAATAATATATGGAATTCCTAAACCATAAATGCTACCTTGCATTATGCAGATACCAAGTTAAGGAATACAAAAATTGACATAGCAATTTAAGTTAATTGGAAAGGTCTTGTTAGCATAAAAAAAATATGCAGTGAAAATGATTTCAACATTGCAAATTTTGGAGGTTTAGTTTAATATTTTGCAATACAAACTATACAGACATGGAAGGAAATCTGAGGCCACAACTCACCATGTAAAGTTAACTGGCACTAGTAGTATGAATAATAAGAAGGCACATGGGATGGTAAGGTATGGGAGGAAAGAAAATACTTTCAATTAGTTCATTAATTTTCCTCAAATTAAAAACATGGACTTTAAGTCCTTAATTAGGGAAACATAGCCATGAAATCTATTCCAATACCAACACCTAAATACAACGTAACTCTATTTCTTAAATTAACTTTGACACCAATTCTAATATAATTACCAAATAAAAAAATATACTTTTAAAACTACTAAATTTCAAAATATGATTGGTTTATTTTTTTTGCCAATCTATCGATTAAGTTAAGTTCAATTTGGGAACTCAAAAATCCAATCTTAGAATGTTTAAGCCCATATTAACACCCCATAATGTAAAGTGATCCCTAAGATCCCTATTTGAGAAACAAAAAATATCATCATCATTGTATTGATAGACAATAAAACAAAAGTTAGAAGTGTTCTTCTCCTTTTTTTTTCTTGTGCTC